TGTTGTAATAGTAACACCAATACTTCGTCAGCCTTGACTCTTGGCGGGTGCGTAATTCCCACATTAATCAATTGGTGATGGGATTTTGTGCAAGGAACGGAGTTTGGAGCCTCGAAATAGACCATAAAAGAAGATAAAATTATCCGTGTAGTAATTTGTGCTGACTGCTGAGTGTTAGCATGATAAATGCTTGTAATTTGATCTTTGGGAAGGAAATGGACTTCAACTAGCTGGATGTTAAACTATTTCTTGGGCTCGGAAAGGGAATTGACTAATTGTGCCCTTTGACGTTGGTTGCAGGAGTGGAATGTTCCGAAACCTAGACATTTACCTTTACTCAGGAGTGCCTTGCAACGCGAAAATGTGAGTAGATGTTTGTTAAGCAGCATCTGTGTGTTTGTGTGCCTGCACATGCATATGTTGTTATTTTCCGTTTCTGACCGTATTATGACTTGTAATTTTGCTGTTTGATTTACTTCTATTTTCCTATGCAGTCCAATGGAGAGCAGTCTGATCTCTGGGCTCCTTTGGCTGACCAAGGGTGGAGACCGTGTCTTGAATGTGTAAATGCCCCTTGTGAGTGATCACCAATGAGATTTCTAGTTTTGGATTCTTTTTATCATCAGCATTCTGAGTTATGAGACTTCAGTTTGTGGTATTAATCATTTTGTCCTATATGTCCTGATCATGATAATTTTTCTTGGATTTTGCCCTACGATTACTTTGAGCAGCATTGCCACAGATATCTGAAGGATATCTGCAGGTATTTCTTGATGGGGGACTGAACCAGCAAAGAATGGGGGTAGGTATTCATTTGCATTTATAGTACTTAGAGGAGTCAAGAATTACAAAGCATTCAATACTTATAGTTCTCTTGATTAAATATTTTTTAGTCTCTTGAAAAGCAGTTAGATAGTCAGATATTTAGGGTTTTTTTGTTTTTGTTTTTTTAGATATGCGATGCTGTTGCTGTTGCTAAAATACTGAATGCAACCCTTGTGATCCCGCATCTTGAAGTAAATCCTGTTTGGCAAGATTCAAGGTACTTTGTGTGGATGGAAATTTTCCCTTCCATTTCTTATTTCAAATGGAAATGTGTAGTTTTTGCCTCAGTTTTAAGGAGGCATTTTTCTGAAGTAATTATTTTCCCTGCAGCACATTCATGGATATATTTGATGTGGATCACTTTATTAATGTATTGAAGGATGACATTTCAATTGTCAAAGAACTGCCTGATGAATTCTCCTGGAGCACAAGGGAGTACTATGCCACTGCTATTCGAGCCACCAGAATTAAAAGAGCACCTGTTCATGCATCTGCAAACTGGTATCTTGAGAATGTCTTGCCTGTACTAGAAAGGTTGGTGGCAACCTGAACCTTTTGATTTGGATACACAGTTTAGTTGCTTTTAAAAATTTTGGGCCTAAGGACCTTTTGTACCAGATCAAGTACTTTGTACTCTGTTGTGGGGCATTAGACATAAACATGCACTTGATTTGTTCTCTCCATCTATCCCTTTGTGGATATTGCACTTTTATGCATAATGAGACACTTGATAATTTGATGCTTTTCTGGATTGGTTAAATTCATAATTAATGTACATATAGAGTTGATTTCACTATTATGGTTCCAATTTAATTAGGAAATATGAACTGACCTGTTAGTTGTGTTTTGTGATTTTAACCTAGTTCTTACTTGCCAATTTATGTGATCTATATAACATGTCATATTTTGGCACAGTTACGGGATTGCTTCAATTTCTCCATTCTCTCATCATTAGGAAATGTGGACGGACCTGTTAGTTGTGTTTTGTGATTTTAACCTAGTTCTTGCCAATTTATGTGATCTATATAACATGTCATATTTTGGCACAGTTACGGGATTGCTGCAATTTCTCCATTCTCTCACCGCTTGTCTTTTGACAACTTGCAAAGTGAGATCCAGAAACTACGTTGTAAAGTCAACTTTAGAGCATTAGTCTTTGTTCCGCACATTAGAGCACTTGGAGATGCCCTTGTCCATCGCCTCAGGTATCCTCCTGGTGAAAGTGAAGCACTTAGCACTAACTATCTCAGGGAGACCACCGATCAAAATGACAAACGAAGGCCTCAGAAATTTGTCGTGGTACACCTTCGGTTTGATAAGGTATAACCTACTTATCCTATAGATTTAAGATCCTTGTGCTTTAAGAATGTGATATTGGTTTTTTTATAAGCTTTAGTTTAAAATATCATTGTGCATATTAAAAGAAAGAGTAAAAGGGATCAAATTGATTGGAACCTTCTGCCTTTTCCTCCTCTTGTTTCCTCCCCGTAAGTGTAATTTTGAAGTTTTCCATATGCTTGAACTTGTTGCTCCTAATCCTTAAGCTCCACTATGAGGGTATGTATTTCATCTTTTAGACCTCATACGCTATCGGCTTGCATAGCTTATAGATGCGATGTCCATGAAAAAGGTGAGATGGCCATGCTGTTGTGAAAATAATATTCTTACACGGCTGTAGCACCCTTTCTGCATCAGTCCTTTCGACAAGTTTTAACAATTGGAAAAACTAATTTAACATGTGATTGACCCATTTCATTTTAATTGGTCTGCAATTTTTCTTTACTGGCTCCCTCACTTACCTTGTATACATGCAGGATATGGCTGCCCATTCAGCCTGTGATTTTGGTGGGGGCAAAGCTGAAAAATTGGCTCTGGCCAAGTACCGACAAACAATTTGGCAAGGAAGGGTTCTCAATTCTCAGTTTACTGATGAAGAGTTGAGAAGTCAGGGCCGTTGCCCATTGACTCCTGAGGAAATTGGACTGCTTCTAGCAGCTCTGGGTTTTGACAATAGTACTCGTCTTTATCTTGCCTCCCACAAGGTCCGTTGTCCTTGGAATTTTGGTTTTGCAATGTTCTCCTCTCCCCTATCCTTTCCTTAACAACTTCTTCATATATATGGTGCACTCTCTCCCCAATTTATTCATCAAATGGCCACATATTTCAGGTATATGGTGGGGAAGCTAGGATTTCCACCCTACGAGAGCTGTTCCCACTGATGGAAAACAAAAAGAGCCTTGCCTCTTCGGAGGAGAGGGTCCATATAAAAGGAAAGGCTTCTTTGTTAGCTGCAGTTGATTACTATGTTGGTATGCATAGTGACATCTTTGTCTCAGCTTCTCCTGGGAATATGCACAATGCTTTGGTGAGTATCCTCTGGCTGTCTACAGGGTGGTATCACATATCTATAGCCTGGAATTACTTATAGATACAGAACTTTCCACTTTGCTGCTGGATATCATTAACAGATAATATGTGTTGAATTCTCATTGGGTTGAATGTGGAGTGTTTTAACCAATGGATGGTTTTGGTGCCCTATTAGAAAGCTGATATGTGGAATAAAGGCATAGACTTCATCGTCTTTTAGGATGGTGGTGGTGGGGAATATTTTCAAACAATTTTGTGCAAGTGCAGTACTTTACAGTTTTTGTGATTTTCTAGCATTCTGCTAAGTTAATGAGATACATCTCAACCCTCTAATAGATGACAATTGCTATGATGCAAACAGATGGGACATCGAACTTTTGAGAACCTGAAGACCATAAAGCCTAATATGGCTCTCTTGGGCCAACTCTTCCTTAACAAAAGTATTAGTTGGTCAGAATTCCGGCAGGCTGTGGTGGAAGGGCATCAAAACAGGCAGGGCCAACTCAAGTTAAGGAAACCAAAACAGTCCATATATACATATCCTGCACCTGATTGCATGTGCCAAGCTTAAGCCATAAAGGAGGACGTGCTGAAGGAAGTGAGAGTACCTTCAGTATTTTATTGATTTTAATACTGCAGCTATTATTTGTGGCTTGTACTATTGGCATCATAAATAAGCAGCAACCCCATTTAGATAAAAGTATTACAGCTAGCGTTGTTAGTCGGTATTGTGTAGTGTATGGACGGTGGTAATTTATATCGAGGGTGGGGTTGTTAGCATCAAATTCATTGTGGATCCTCGAGTATGGACTGTGGAGTGGAGTATGTGACGTATAGTTGGCAGATCTGGGATGTGTTTGTTGCATATCTCTGCCTGTGAAGCTGTCTGTACAACCTTTCTCAGGTCAATATTACATCAAACATCTATGTTCTCGCTTAAGAGATTAGAGTTTTCCTTGGCAGTTGGCGGGCGCTATATCTAATTCAATATACTCGTATTTTTGAAGTGGTGGCTCTATTTCTGTACTTGCAAACTGCACGTGGTTCTAGCCCATAGGTGAGAGCAAAGAATGACCTTTTAAGGGTTATTGAATACAGTCATGGACTGAAGAAATTGCTTGATACGTCGATCTCGTTCTTGGTTGATCACACAATAAAATTATCGACTGATTAGACATCTGAAAACAAGGGAGTGATACTCTACTACCCGATTCATGTTCTGTTATGTTCTAAAAGATACAGTTATAATGAATAATTGGAGGGAGAAAGAAAAAATAAATAAATAAAAAGGCTAACCAAGTCATCTCTGCTTGGTGTGAACACTTAAAAATGGTGGGAATCATCAATTTTCAGCCTCTTCTCTCATTTTCCCTGTCCAGCCTTGTTTCCATCAAGTATTCCGGTGGGTCAAAGCTCAGACTCCTCTCTGCTGAATTGACTCTTTAATGCACGGTGCATGTTAGATGAAGAGATTGCACGATAACCTAAAGAACAGCCATGGCTTTGCTTTGTTTGAAAGCTGTGGTTCATGGAGTTCTGGATTCATTAACCATAATGAAATCAAGAGAAGAAAAGAAGGGAAAAAGATAAGGACGCAACATAGTCGGCAACTTCCGATGACAGCGTGAATGTTGCTCTGCCTCCATAGTATACTAGCAGAGCTACTAATCTGCTCAATTACAGTCCTAGATTATTTGCCAACATCTTGGTATAATAAACCATGCAAAACGAGCCTCAAATTGCTTTTAATATTGATTGATTCTACAATCATCAAAAATGTAAAATTGAAAATGATATATTGCCGAGGCTTTCAAGATAAACAGATTTTGAAAATTAATAATGAAAGAGTGATCAGAAGAAAATATACACGTATGGGACAATTTGATAAAAATACAGCTCCACAATGTAGGTGTCAGGAGAAGTGTTAGATAATTCAAGTATATGGCTCAGGGGATCAGTAGTTAGCTTTCACATACATCACTGTTCGTCAGGGGTACTAGGGGAGGACCGAACCTGACCATCTTTCTTATCCTCAGCAGTGGATCCAGTTCCATTCCGGCTCGCAGAAGCCATTTCTTTTGCATCTGCTGGGGATGGAGTCATCCCTTCTTCAATGGGTAGTGTTCTCTTTGAGCCCCCTAATGCAACACCAAGGACAATATTTTCCTCCAAGACAGGTCTTGCTATTGGTGGCTGAGAGACTGGCAGCCTCTCACCATCCTGTTTTGATTGGAGAGGTTCTCGTAACCCACCTGCTTTGTCAATACCGGTATCTGGTGACGATACTGAAGGATTATCTAACTTGCTACTCTGCCTTGCATTTTTCTGTTGCTTGTCAGTGACCTTTTTGTTTTGGGGAGAATTATCAGAGATTGAATCGAGAACTTTTTGGTCAGGACTATATGTTTCCGTGGCATTGGAACTTGTTTTCGGGACAGATTTTGATGGTGATTTCATAGCCACTTTATCATCTGTCTTGAGATCAGATGTTGATGCAAATGCAGCCTTAAGGTCCTCCTTGGTGTCAGAATTTGGAGTTTCTCCAATCTTGGCATCTGCTTTGGGTTCAATTGATGGTGCTCCTTTAGCCTTGGAGTCAGGCTTTGGTGTTGCTCCTGCCTTGTCTGCTTTAGTGTCAGCACTAGGCCGAGCTGTGGTTTTACTGTCTTGTTCTCCAGCTGGACGTGAGGAACGGCCTTTTGTTCTATCTTCGCCATTGATCTTGTAAGACGGTTCAATAAGTAACAGGGGCCTGTTAGATGGCACTCCACCATGGCTATAGACTGAGTCTGCAAATGGTATATTTTCCCAGTCAGCATCACTATATATTTTCTGCACAGTGCGAATTGGTGTGGCAAGCCGGGCACGGTGATGGCTGATGACTCTAAGGAGATCCAAAAGTATAGCTTCCTGAATCATCAACCACAGAGACAAATAATGGATCCACTCAAATATATCAACCTTAAAAAAAGACACTTTCACTGACAAGAAATATTCTAAAAATAATCAAAAGGCTTCTTTTTTCATAACAAACCAACAGATGTTATAGAATGTTATATCAGCACCCTATTGCAGGCATATACCACCAAAAAAACGACAAACAAAAGGATAACTCTATAAAACCATTGCTTGTGATAAAGAGGATAACATCTATGAAAGGCTTCTTGAGCAGCCTTCTAATAAAATATAAGCATACTTATTTCAACAGAAAACTGTGAATAAGTTGTCTTTAAATATTTATTTGTTATACCTCTCCAAATGTTGGACAGTGATTCATTTCCGATACTTGTTTGATATAATTGATTATTTTAATATTCTCTTGGATCTGTACCAAATTAATAATACCATACTGGCAAGCATTTAATGCTGCCAACAAAGTTATAAGCAAATTTTTCTACCATGTTGCACCACAGCCATTGTCATTGATGCACCCAAACACCCTGAAATCCACTTGCACAGGCCACATCCATCATTAAAAGGTAGAAATTTCAATACAAATATCCTCTCACCTTGACACATAGATACTCTTCAAGATGGGAAGTCTTTACAAAACAGGACACCAGTATCTGTCAAATAAGAAAGAATGACGGAAAGAAAATCATCAGACATAGATGATAGACACAAGCTTGCACAATAACTAATGCATCTAAGATGTCAGGTCTCAGTGCTAGTAATAAGATTCATGTTTCTTTTTTTCTCATTTTATAAATCTTCAAAATCTTAAATTATTGTTTCTCATTATACCAGAAAGGGGCAAACCATAAATATGTTTATTATACCTCTTGTCAAAAGTTTTAAGAGAAAGAAACTAAAAATGGTAGTTCTTGGATCATACAGATGCTTAGAAATGCTTAAAGGAAATATACATAGACCATATCAATAAAGTATAAAAATTTAAACATCACTCAAAAAGGCATCAGGAAAAGGTCAGTACTCAGAGGTTGATATGATTCGACTTTAAAGACAAAGCACCTGCTACCATAAACAGATTGCAAAATGCCTTTTGGTTGGTAAGATTTGAATGGAAAAGGTATCTAACCACATCACACCCTCATACCACATGACATGAAATATAAAAAGACACTGGATGAGGCAAATCCTTTTAATGTCTAGCGACATTGCTGACCAAAGAATCTATCAAAGAGTGATGATTGTAAAACAAGTCACCAAGTCATGATGAAAGGAATGATCACATAAAAAGTTCAGATGTTCAACACGAACCAAAAGAGACTGATTTTCAGGATTGACATTTTCTAGAAATACTCTTCTGTGCAATCTCTGCTGCTCAACCTGAGGATTCTTGGCCAAGACCTTGCGCATGTCGGCAACTATATTCTGCACGAACAAAAGGGTTCATAAAAAATGTATAAAAAGGAAACACTCTAAAGACAATTCAATGTCTCCAAAGGTGAATTAGAATTTATTACATGCTGGGATAACTCCTTACATTAATCTTATTGACATCCAAGTGACTGATGGCCAGGTGAGTTTTAATGCGCCAATGAGTTTTCTGACTGAGATTTCTCACAACATTTACTGTAAATTTATGGTTTGGAATATGAACGGCTTCACGATCTTCCCCTCTTACTATTGTTGGTGACCACCAACCGACATGCTGAATATGAAAAGAACATTAAGATCCATATAAGAAAATCTTCAGATGATGCCTGTTGCTTTTTAAGTGCACTAAGGGAATCACATCATTAAAACCCAATCATAATTTGGAGATCTAAAACAAACACCATAATCATAAAGTATATTTAAGTAAGATGTCCACCTTTTTCTCTGAACAGCTTTATTCAGAGACAGGGTTCAAATACAAACCTCAACGGTTCCAGAAACTTCATATCCCTCAATCTTTGTTTGAATCCATTCATTCACAACAAAAGGTCGAGTTGCATGAATCATTGCACTTGAGAGAAAATTTGTGAATATCTACAATAACAAACGGCAAAATGTCAAGCACTGGAACATACATATACTGATACAGACAATAAAGGGATCAAGAAAAGTCAAGATTAACATTCAAAACGTTTGGAATACTGATCTTTATTTCATCTTGGACTCGTTTAGGACATGAAAAAGATAAAACAAAAAAGTACTAGTTTTATGTTTCATATGTTAAAAGTTGTGGGTTTGATTTCATTTCTTGTTTTCCTGGGGTTTTCTGGGATACTCTAGCAATTTACAACTTAGCAGAAAATCTCACGATTTGAGCCTAAAGGGTTTATTTTACAGTTTCCTTCTGTTATTGTTTTAATAGTTCAAATTTTGGTGGTTTCCTATCTCTAAGTCCTTGTGAGAATAGGACTACTAGAACACTATAAGTAAGTACGTTATCTCTTTCAATTGATCAAGAACAAGTTTGATATATTTTTGCAGATGTTATCGGTGCAGGATCAGTTATGCTGTCTCTTGATTGTATGAAGCGATTTCTAACTGTGGGTGTGGAGCGTATATCTTTATCTTCTTCTTCCTCTTATCCCTTATTTGTAGCATTGTTTCAGATTTGACCAGTCCTTAATCAGTCTCTTTAAACCTATCAAACTGTTACCAAAGCAACCTCCCAGTTCAACCACAAGTTCTTGCCCACCATATAATCAGATTTTTGCATGCAAACCCACATTCCTGTCCTATATCATCTATAATGTTCTTGCTAATATGCAGTTAAAATAAAGTATTTTTACTTTAAAAAAAAAGAGAAAGAATTGTCCATTGGTACCACCAAGAACGTGAAGCATATTCCAGAAAAACTATAAGTTGCAAAGAATTTGTATGAAAATGCTATTTAGGTGTACCTCACGACCAGCAAGAGTCAGCAAAACTGTCCCAAGACCTCCAGCAGTTAGCCATTTCTGAGTAGAGAAACCAAGCAACTCCATGAACAATGACACAGCAGCAATCCAAACTGCAGAGTATATAGCTTTCCCTGCAAACTGGAAACCCATCTGCCGAAAGAACGAGAGAAGTTAATGAATTAGTTAGAACACATCGCAATTTGGGCTATCTTAATACAACCAAGAAAAGTATGTACATAAATAATAGTAAAGAAAGGTAACTGATGTGTAGTATAGGTCTCTCTGTAATGAATGGAGGCATCAGAGCCACACTTCGCATGCACTTCAATTTTTTTGCAATAAACAATAGCAATAACAAGAAGATTAGTAATCAATATCAAATGGTTTATGCTACAGCAATGGCACCTACATTTCTCGTATCATCAGTGGTCTTGCTTGTTTCCATGAAGAATTTCTGCAGTTGCTGAATCATGCTGCATGGAAGTGTTTTAGAAAACAACAATCAAGAAGTATTCAACGAGGTAAACATTATCAACATTGAGAAATCAATTTCAGTAGAACAAGATTCAGAAATATTATAGATCCACCGACAAATCAATTCACACTTCATACTAGCCCTAGCTGTGTGCAACACATGCCTTCCCCCATGTTTCTCCTCACAGCTTTAGCTGTCACCATTTTCCTCCTAACAAAATTTTAGTTGATATAGCTGGAAGGTTATTTTTATGACTTTCATTAGATTATTTTAGAGAGAAACATCTGTAGAAAACAAACTGGAAGTGGATTGCTTTCTTTTTATTTATTTATTTTTAATAAATATAACTGGACTTCAGTAACAAATTCACTGATGAGCCCACCAGCAATAAGCAATACTTGTCTGTTATATTAAATAATACTAAAATTTCAAATATTAAATAACACTAAAGCCAGAGACCATCCTCATAAAGCATTTTATGATGAAAGATTTAAACAGAAAATGCATGCTCACCTAGATAAGCAATATGCGAAGGCCAGCACAGTTGACAATGATCTTACAAAATTTAAAAGCCGTTGCTTAACAACTTGGCTAGCTTCTGAAGGAAGTACCAATGGATCCAGTGTTCTGCAAGAAGTACAAAAATAATATGCATGCTTATTGAACGCTTGAAACTAGATTTTGCATTTTATAACAGCAAAATACAGTGCTCCTTTTGCATTTCAAAAACACATCATGATAGTGGCACCTGCATATGAGTATTGCTCCAGTCCACAGCAGCAAAGGTTGAATATAAGAAGTTGTAATATAATGTGTTCTACTCTTCTTCCAGCTATTATCACTCTTCTGCAGGTAATCTTAGAATATTAGATAATGCGTTGACTCAATTTGGCCAGATGTATATTAACCATGGTAAATAACAGAATTAAGCAGAAACTTTAAGGAGTGCACATACATGAAAAAGGAGGCTTCTACTCTGTCGAATAAGTGGTGCAACACCCCATAGGGCAAAAATTATAATACCGAATGCTGGAACCAACTTAAATACAAGAGGACTACCTTGTAAGATATTATATGACCTGCATGATACGAAGGGCTTAATATTAACTGCAATTAAATCATTGCAGTTTGTAAACATTAAAATAATACCGAAAAGCAACCTTTTTTTTTTTACAGAATTATACAATATGCTTCTCATGGAAACATGAAACCACATGTAAATATAAATTAACTGAAGCAGAAGAAAGTAATTACTCCTAAATAATACTTAGAGACATGCTTAGAACTTGAATCCAAGTAAAAAGTAATACTAGAAATGCTGAAATAATAAGAAAATGCATTTATCCGTATGAAATAGATAACCACACAAACGATCCCGAAGTTCAATAAGACAAATATACTTGCACATTTAAGTAAATAACTGAACAGGGGTAAAAGGGCACCTTGTTACTGCAACAGATACAGCTTTTACACCAGGAAGTTCAAATATCTGGCCTGGTACTTGAAAAGCATGACACCTAAAAGCATTGTTTCTGTATGGAACAGAATGTATTGGCCTGTACAAACTGTCAGAGAGGTGAATTCTCCAAGAATCTTGTTGCAGAACCTGTGGCAAAAAGGGAAGAAGACAAAGATATCCTCAAACATCACAAAAAATTGAAAAAATATCTCGAGAACACCTTTCGAAGGGATACAAAGCAGTGTATGACATCAAACTACAATTGCGATTATATAATCACTAATATAGACAATAAAACCAAAGGTTTCAGCTTATAAGAGTCTATGGGGATAGCCAAGTAATATTTACATAAAAAGTTAAAAGGAGAACATAAATCTAGCCTTTCATCCAGAATAATTCTGACAATATAGTTCAATCACTGCAATAATAACTGTGAGAGATTGGAATAGACAAAATAATGACAATATGCTACAATGCAGAAAAACTTACCTGCAATTACACTTCGTGAGAGTTTCCATGCACTTTGAAACAATGATATTGTCAAACAAAAGCTATCATATTAATGTCTATTTATAAAAGTAATGCACCTATAATTAACTTGGCTTAACCAAATTTGAAGCAAATCACAAAAAACAAGACAAGACAGCTAAAAAAACTTAAGCAACAAGTATCCCACATGCATATTGCAGATATGCATGCACTTGATAAGGTGACACGTTTTCTTCCTTTTGACAATTCAATGTTCACAATCTCAGTCACCTAACAGCAGAGAAACAGTATCCTAAACAAAGAAGCACTAGTCTTAGAGCCGGAAGTCATACCAAAGAATGAGAAGAGAGGGTAGCACTCAATAAATGCAATTTGCTCCTTCCCAATACACTCTGAAAACACAAAATGGTAAAAGAAAAAGAAAATTCAAATATATAAATTAAAAAAAGACACCAAACAGCATACAATATGCTTTCTTAGAGACAAGGAGTAAGGAATCCTGTACCTTAAACTTTTTATTGTATCCCTGGTTCCTGCAAAGTCCCAAATCATGGGACAATTGCAAAGAACCAGCAAGAGACATTGTAGGAGTGAGACCGCCCTTTACAGGGTGTCACTATTAGCATAAGCCCACAATGTATTCCAGTAATAGCTAAGATTTACACTCCAAATCGATATTAAGAAAGTGAAACACTTTTCAAAAATCTCACGTCTCTTCAACCTGCCATAGAAAATTACGAATTTCATGCGGCAACAGAAGATAATAGTTTTTTATTAATAACAGTTTAATCAATAAGAACAATAAAAATGCCTTAAACCCTAATCAATTTTCAATTCGAAATTTTCAAAATTCCACCACAGGGATAACATAATTTTGAGCGGTAATTTAACCAAAAAGAAGAAGAAGAAGAAGAAGAAGAAGAAGAAAAAGAAGATAACTTTAATTATTAGATACCGAGAATCGATTCTGATAATCCAAGATTACATACAATCAAGCAAACAAATTAAAGAAAAAAACTTTCATCAATTCAAAATTGTAATGAAAAAAATAAAGCAGATAAAAGCAATGAAATTAATAATAAAAAAAAATTTCTACTCACAGGCAAAGTTTTGGGCATCCGAGTTAACATGAATCTTAAATATAATTATCACAAACAAAGTGAGAACAAAGCTAAATATGACAGAGTTTCAAGTGAATTCCAAGTTTGAAAATGAAGAATCTTCTTAAAAAGCATAAATAGATACATAAATTCTAAAGGCTTTGAAAATAATAGTTACTTTAAAGAGGAAGAAACGACGACGGAGCGGAGAATCTCAGGCGTCGAAAAGCTTTCCCCAGAAATTTGGAGACTGGCTCTTCTCGATTTTTTCTCTCAGGAGATTCGTTGAGAAAGGCAGAGAGAGAGAGAGAATTAACCTGTGCCGCGAACCATTCGCCAATGATGTGCACTCGAGAAATTATATTTGTTAAAGTGGTGAATAATTAGCCACCTGGATTGCCACGTTGGCTTACGTGGCGGCTCGTGTTTGCCCTTTCTTTTGGTTGCGGACAAAATTAAAAAAAAAAATCTATCCTTCCCTGTTTTTCCGCTTTTCTTCGTTTTATAATCATGGAACTGGACGTAAAACGGCTGCCAAAGGTTGCGTTTGGGAAATTGCAAGCGAGCGAGAAACATGGGAGGGGAGGAGAAAGCGAAGAAGGAAGCGCTGGAGATTATCGGCCAATTCCAGAAGCTGCCTTGTTTGGTCGTATTCGATCTCGATTATACTCTCTGGCCTTTTTATTGGTACAATTTCTGCTCCAATTTCTAACTGTTAACAACTGCTATTTAGAAATTGTAGTAAATGTGGCGGTGATCCATTTTATTGTTTTCTTGATGTTGATTGTTGTTAGTGAGTGCTGCGATGAGGATGAAACACCGTATCTATATCAGCATGCTAAAGCCATATTACTTGCCCTGAAGGAGAAGGGAATTGATATTGCTATAGCTTCTAGATCACCAACTCCCCAAATTGCCAAAACTTTCCTCGATAAACTAGGAATCCGGCCCATGTTTGTCGCCGAGGTGAGGGACGATTCTTGTCATTCTTTTTATCTTGTCCTTGTGTCGTTTATTTGATTACTATTTACCACCATATATGTTTTAATTTCTAAGCACTTTTTATGGAATAGCATGGTGTTAGCCACTAGGTTGTGCTGAAGATGAATGAAGGGCTCATATGTGGAAATGATTCATTTTCGTGATTGGGGGTTTTACTTCTGTTAAATTGGGTTTTTAACGGATAGTTTGGTCCATTTTCACATGTGTTATAGGAGATATTCTCGAGTTGGACACATAAAACCGAGCATTTCCAGAGAATTCATAGGAGGACTGGGGTACCATTTAGTTCAATGCTGTTCTTTGATGATGAGGATAGGAACATAGAAGCGGTAAAATTTTCTCTTGTGATGAACAATTTATGCTCGGTTTCTTAACTGCTGAAGTTTTTATATCCTCGTTTTCTAAATCTGTTTATGGTTTTTGCAGGTATCAAAAATGGGAGTCACTAGCATCAATGTTGGCAATGGAGTAAACCTCAGAGCTCTAAGGCAGGGATTGTCAGAATTTTTGCAGAAATCTGAACCATCTAGTGGGAGCAGGAGTGAGTAAAATTTTCCATTGTTGTATAATAATCCATGATAATGATATCAGCCTAAAACCATTGATTATGCTAGCGGCAAATGCCATCTAGTTACCATATTCTTATTCTACATTCAATTGTTCTGTGACTGTTCTGCATGCTGCATCTATTTCTCATTTGCTGTGGCATGACAGCAGATATATTTCACACATTGTATCGTTGTTCAAAATTCTTGACAAACTACTTGAGAATGAACAAAGAGGATCTAGCACTCTTTTTTGTTGTTGGAATGGAAACACTTCACCTGCAAGTTTAGGAGGCTTTTGTTTGTTTTTTGAACACATTAGAATACAAGTGCTGATGCTTTTATCTGAACCTTTAATGTTAGGGAACACAAAATGTTTCATCAAGTCCATAACTTAAATAGTCCACAAGAAATGGTAAGAGCATTTCATCGTTGTTTTTGGAAGTGCAATTAGGCTGGTTTTTGAAAAGATGCTTGGTGACACTAGAAAAGAGAATATGCGTACAGGGATGCTAATGTTACACTTCAATATCTTAATTCAAACCGATTCATAACATTGTGAAGCTGCATTTTTTTCATGATAAATTTGCATTCCCCTGCTAGAAACATGTGAAGTCTTCAATGGAGCATAACAAATATCTTATTGAAATGTTAGCTCTTTGGCCACAGGATGGGAATACATGTATTCAACAAGCTTTTCCCAAAATAAAGTACTTAAGCAACAACCATCCACTTCCACAGAGGAGGAGAAAATATGATAAATTACGAGCTGGTTCTTCAAAATGAAACAATGAATCATGTGGTAAATTGTTACTGGCAGATACAAACGCTTATACATGTATGAATCTGTCATATTCAAAGCTGAAAAGGAAGACGAAGTCCATGCTTTAAACTGCATGGATTCTTCCGGAAAACTTAGTTAATGAATGGGGGCAAAAAAGAAAATGAAAAAGAAAACCATCAATCACACAAGTTGTATTGATAATAGCTTCTTTCCTTAGTTGCAAGTTAGTTGAGCTGTCTAAATGGTGATCTTTCTTCAATGGCGGAATCGGGTTTCTTGGTTGCCGGAGAAGGAACAGGACTATTCTTGTTCTCTTTTAGAGAGTCAAAAAGTTCATCACCACCTTTCAAGCCTGAAGTGTTATTGTCAAAAGACTGCACTATCCTTCCCAAGATTCCCATCAGCTGTGCGTCTTCACTGGAGAACTCACTGATCTTGTCACCTAGGCCCCCAATGACTCCGAACAAACTTTCCCTCTCCATTGACAACTTCATGATGTCCTCGAGCAAATTTGTCTTTTCACTCTTAAGCTCCTCAACCAAAGCCTCTGATGTTCTCAGCCTTGCCTCCATCTGATCAGCCAAGTTCTTCATTTGCAGATGCTTTGCTTCCAATTCAGCTTCAACATTTAATGCTAGCTGTTTTGAATCAGACAGGGATTTTTCTTGCGATAACAGTTTCTCCTGTGTAATATGAATGTCATCCTCCAACTCCAAAATCATTAATTTTTTCTCTTCAATTTCTAGCTTAGCCAGAATCTCAGCTCTGGCAATTTTTTCGTAAGCTTCGTGGACCAAATTAATCTGTGCCTGCTTCTCAGCAAGCTCTGAGGAAAAGGAATTCAATGAGCTATTAAAATCTTCTTCCATTGACCTGACAGCCTGCATGAGACCATCTATTCTCTGATCTTTCTCTTCTACAAGCCGCAAAAGATTTTCCTTCTCATGCTCAAATTTTCTCTCTGCGCCTATATGTGCAAATGCAGCGCCTTCCATTTCTCTTCTAAGTGATTCTTCTTCCAGCAACCCAATCTCTTTCTGGAGATCCTCTAAGATCTTGTCCTGTTCTCTTGTGATTTGAAGAATGCTCTCCTCTGCAGAACTCACTGCTTCTAATTCTCTTGTTTTGAGCTCTTGCTCTAGTGATGCTCTCTGCTGCTGGAGATAAACTATTCTCCCTTCCTTCTCTTCTGTTATACGGATAAGATCTTGCTTGATAGTTTCTCCAACCTCCACTTGCGCAAGAAGAGACGCTTCTAACTTTTTACGCAGTTCCTGGCTCTCTTCAAGGTCAGCTTTGAACCGCTCAGCAATAGATTTCCATATCCACGATTCAAATTCAATTTCATGTCTTTCACAAATTTTCTCAACCAATTCAGAATTTGCTTTGTCCAAAGCATTGCCAACTTCTGTCAGTTTCCTTTCTGAGTCACTTTCGATCTGAGACATTTGCTCTTCTAATTGAAGTTGGCACCTAGATGACTTCTCAAACATTTCCTTGTACCACTCAAGTTCTTTCTGCCTCAGGGCCCACTGCTCTTCCAAGTGATCTGAAGATTCAATCCTCTTCTTTAAATAAGCTGTCCTCTCACGTTCTTCAGCCAATTCAAAGTTTGCAGTTTCTAAAGCATCACAAACTTCTCGAAGTTTCTCTTCAAATTCATTTTGCATATGCACTGCTTGCTCTTCCAACTGACGTTGACTCCTAGATGTTTCCTCGAGCAAATCCTTATACCTCTCAAGCTCTTTCTGTGTCTGGAGCCACTGCTCTTCAATTTGATCCAAAGACTCAACCCTCTTCATCAACGAAGCTGCTCTTTCTCGTTCTTCTGTTAATTCAGATTTTGCTGCTTGTAAAGCATCACAAACTTCTTGAAGTTTCTCTCTGGATTCACTTTCCATCTGCAAAGCTTGCTCTTCCAAGTGTATTTGACACCTAGATGCTTCCTCAAGCTTTTCTTTATACCTCTCAAGCTCTTTCTGCATCAGGAGCCGCTGTCCTTCAATAATATCCAAGGACTCAACTTTCCATAACAAAGATGCTACCTTCTCCTGTTCTTCAGCCAGTTCAGAATTTGCCACATCTAAAGCATCACAGACTTCTCTAATTTTTCCTTTTGAATCATTGTCCACCTGCAAAGCTTGCTCTTTCAACCGAAGTTGACACCTGGATGATTCCTCCAGCATTTCTTTACATCTACCGAGCTCTTTCTGCATCAGCTGATACTTATCCTCAAGTTGTTCTAAGGTATCAACCCTCCTGGATAAAATTGCTGTCCTCTCACGTTCTTCTCCAATGTCTTTCCGAGCATTAGCCAGAGCAGTATTTTTCATCTCCAGCTGCCGCCTCAGAATAGAAAGATTCTCTACCCTCTCTTTCTCATGGAGGCCCAACTCAGCCTCAACATTTGCAAGTTTCAATTGGGCTTCAGACATTCCTGACTTCATCAGCAGTAACATAACAGAAATCTCTTCATTCTGCAATTTCAACTGCACAGCTGAAGAAAGGTAACCTTCAAGTTCCATTTCAAGCACTTTGAAAGCGGCATCTTTCCTCTCTAACTGAGAGCTGTAGTCATTTAATTTCTTGGTCATTTCCTCCTGCTGAGAGTTCCATTCAGCTTCTTTAGCCCTTAGATTTGCTGAACACTCCTTGTGCATCTGCTCCACACTTTTGAGCTTGTTTTTCAGTTTTGAAAGAGAAGAAGAACTTCCAGCTTCCTGAATTCGGGCTTCCTGGAGTTCTTTGAGGGATGTCATCAGCTCTTGATTTTCTTGCTCCAGTTTTCCTGCTCGATACTCCATTTCCTTGTAAAATGATTCCTTTGTGCCCAATAAATGTCTCAGAGTTGCAACTTCATTATCCCTCTGGGAATTCAAGCAGTCCAGTTGTGACTTTGCATCCTGGCATTCAGCAAAAATATTTTCAAAGCGTGTTTTGAACTCTGAAATTTCAACTTCCAGGTACTTTCTTCGTGTTTCTTCATGAGCCAAGGCCTGGTTGCACATTTGTAACCGGTTTTGAAGATCTCCTGTAATTCGGATCTGAGAATCTAATCTTGTCTGCAGCGAACAAATCTCATCATGCAATGTTGATTTTTCTTGCTCCCACTCTTTCTCACTCACCTTGAACTGATCTCGAAGCTTGTCATGGGCTTCTTCTAGGTGTTTGAACTGCTCCTTCTTCCATTTTAGCTGATCTTCAACCTTCCTCTTGGCTTCCTCTACCTTGACCAACAAATCATCTCTTTCTCTCAACTCTTTTGGGTTTTTGGCCTTTTTCTCTGCTTCTGAGCGCTTCTTCTGTGAAACTGACAGGTGCGCTTTCAGGCCTTCAATCTCCGCCTTAAGCACATTAATTTTTTGTTCTTGATCTATATTCTTCTCATTTGCCTCATCTAAAGCCAATATCAGCCTTCTATTCTCCTGCTCCCAGTTTTGATTCTTCTCATCACGCTCAACTCTGAGCTTAGCATTAGCAGCAGTCAATTGCTTGATGATAGATTCTTTTTCATTCAGACTGGATTTAAGATCTTCATTCGCTTGCTTCACCACCGAGATTTCTTCTTCTTTTTCAAGAAGTTCTTGAGCCTGCTTCTCGATTTTTGAACTCCCTTCTTGGATTTTCATTACCTGCTCATTCTGGATATTTTTCAAGTGCTCACATAATGCTGCTTTGCTTTTGAAATCTGCCCTTAGCTTCTCATTCTCAACTTTGACTTCATCTAGCTCTTCATAAACCTTCTCCATTGCCATTTTTTCCTGAATATATATTTTCAATTTACAATTTACACCTGTTAGTACACAAAGCACAAACCTTTTTAGCTAAAAAGTTTAGGTGGATGTTAAAGCTAACATTATGTCCCAAAGATAATGACAGATTATTAAGTGAAAATGTTTCTGTAGCTATTCCATAAGCATATAAATATTATCCGTCAGAATTCCTTTGACATGCAGAGGATGTTCATGCTTTAAACTGAATGGTAATTTTTTAAAAAGAAAAAAATTAAGATCTAATGTGATTTTCTTTTCTAGGTCTTTCCAGGGAAACAAACGGAGTGCGAATGTAAGATCTAATTAAGCAAACAAATGAAACATTGCAAATGAAAATATCAAAAAACTGAAACCCTAAAGCCACATGATACAAAATTAACGAGATTTTTAAAGAAAACTTTCACAATACAACTAAGCCAACAAAATAACTACTTCTCAGTCTTTCCCTACATTTTGAACTTTCTCGGCTCCTTTCTTGTTCTTTTTATGGGAGGTGCAGTGGTTTCTTGAATTTCTCTGTAAACAAACGGAAATAACGAGAATACAAAATGACCTTAGAAAAGAACCTGGTTTTCTTGTTATAGATTTGTCATCTGAGGGGATTTCCGATCAAGTTTTTCTTTTCTTCGGTAATTTTCTGGTACTCGAAATTTTGAAATCGCGAAGAGAAAATATGCAGAGCGGAAGTAAAAAGAGAAAGAAAGGAAATGTGAGTGTGGTCCAAAAAGAGCCG